CCTTCATAAGCTTTCTGTTGCATGAAGAAATGGGCTCTGTGTTTTCCTCATCTTGGCATCTTTTAAATCACTAGTATAACACACATCATATGCCCCCATTAAGTGGATGATGATCATAAATAGTAGATGAATGGATGAACAGGTGGACTGGTAAATGGATATATGGATGAATGGCTGCTTGGATTGTTGTTTAATGGTTGAACATTTGTTGAATGGATGATTGGATAGATGGTGATGGAATGGATCGTGAATGAATAATTGGATGGATGGATGGATAGATGACTGATTGGGATAGATATGTCTGTCTGTATGTATGTTTAGATGAATGAGAGTATGGATAGACGAACATGTGGATTGATAGATGAAGCATTTTTTTTTCTAAAAGAACTCACAAAAGGCTATGTATTACCAGGGACTTTTAAAGGAGGTAGCTTACCTCACACTAGGACAGACAGAGAAGGAAACCATATCTATACCAAAGCTTCTTTCACTCGCTTGTGTGCTCTAATATGTGCCCCAAAGGCCTGGGTGTGTTTACAATCCCCAGAAAGTAATCTGGGAGCTGTTCCTTTCTTCATACTTCCTTGACCCTCTGGAAATGACTCCATTAATATATATTGTGCTAGATTGCCAACATTGTAATGAGCCGGTGGGTTTTCTGTTCTATATCCTTTCCTCTGTCACAAACACACCCTAGACTGAAGGCAGGAAGCATCTCTCAGACCCTCTTATGTCCCTAGTGTGTGTCATACGTGCTTAATGGCCGAGTACACAAATGAATTACAGTATGGACATTCTGATTCTCTTCCACATAGACACATTTTGCACACACTCACATTCAGTGATCTCTCCTAGTTCTCTCCTCAATCACATACACATTAACCCTTGACCCAGAACTTCACTAAAGACCCAGAGTTTATGATCTGATTTCTGGTTCTTTTACCCATTTCTGACTGGAAGTCTCTGGGTCCTTTGACAGTCTGAAAGAGTAGATTCCTAATTCCTCCAAAACCATAGAAACTGGGCCCCATGTGAGGTAGATTCTTCCTGGGGAAGAACCTAACAACTGGTAGGATAATAGGGCTTTGGACTAATCTGAGAGCTTTTCTCCCAATCTGACCAAAGCCTCCAGGGTCTGCTGCCTTTAGTCCTAACCTGTGAGGCTGTCCCGGGATGGGGGATGGTTATGGCCTGTCTCAAGGCTGGCTGGCAGGCAGACACAGCCAGATTTAGAAGTCATTTTCACAGCAGGGAGCCTCCAACTTCCCACCCACAAGGCCCTGTAGTCTGAGATATGGCTCACCAGGATCTGGCCCCCAGACCAGGTGGCTCCTCCCCTTTTCCTCTCTCTTTATTTCTCCCAAAAACTTTCAACCGGGGGCTGACTCCATCTACAGGTAAAAATGGGAGGAGGTCCTGGGCTGAAGGTGAGGGCAAGTGAAGAACGTGATGCTCTGACACTTAACCATTCTGTGTTCCCAGTAGGGAGCCCTGGTGGCCTAATCTATAGAGTATTTTGCTGAGGATGAAAAGTCTGTGTCTCTAGCGGTTCAAACCCATCAATGGCTTCTCAAGAGAAAGATGGACACTCTTCTCCCATTACAGCCTCTGAGAGACCCAACAGAGGAGGGTTGCTATGAATTTGAACTGACTCTATGGTAGTGAATTTGAACTGGTGTTTATGTTTCCGGTACGACATTCGCCACTTCCAGGAATGTTCATCTCCACCCAGAGCACCTTTCTCTTTCTGACCTGGCCTGCTGTTGTTCTTTCTCCCCTATTTCCTCCACCTCTCTTTCCTATCCTGCTACCAGTTGAGAATACTGGTGAACTAGCTGTTATTACTGTCACCCTCAAGAGAACTAATAATTGTGGCTAAAACATAATATTCCCAACAACTCTATACGAAAAACACGATTAATAACTCCATTTTACAACTGAATACACTGATGCACAAAAAGGGTAAGTACTTTGTCCAAGGTCACACAGCTAGTATGAGATAGAGCCACAACTTGAGTCCTCAGGTTCCATGATTTCTACATACTACCCTAGTTCTATGCAGATACTGGCAGTGTGAGTAAGCTCTTGGAAACTGACTTCTGCTTGCTCATCCTTAAAGGGGTCCAGACAGCCTGGTGAAGCCCCTGTGTACAGTAGCCCTCCACCCCACCAGCCTCATAGTCCTGGGCCCCCCAGGGTTAAAGCAAAATCCAAGGCAGATCCTCTCATCTGTACCCAGGACTTCCTGAGTGGTGATCTATCTTTATCTCAGGCCCAGAGGACAGAGCCGCACACTCCTCAATTAAACCAAGCTGATCACAACTGGGCCTCAGTCACTTACACCTTACCTTCAACAACTTCCCTGAAGGCACCCTAAACCTCAGTCAAACCAGACCTTTTGTCAATTCCCTAAATGCATCCTACTTTCCTACACCTATGCCTTTGCATTTGCTGTTTCTTCCATCTAGACTGCCCCTTCTCCAAATTCTTACATGCCACTTCCTCCGTATAGTCTTCCCTGCTCTCATTAAACCATTACAGTCTTGTCCATTTGCCCTCCTACAGTGCTGGGCATGCCGTCATGATGTGTGTGTTTTCATCTTTCTCTATCATAAACCGCCCTAGACCATTGTCAGACAGGCCTCACTTCCATCCGGAAGCCCAACCCTGTTTAGTTCCTAGTAGGTGATCAGTAGATGCTCTGGAGTCAGAACTGAGTCTGTAGGTGGAAGGGAGACAGACCTCAAGAACCTTTGATCTTTGGCCAAAGTGACTCCTACTTCCTTAGAGCTAACGGGAAACCTTTCAGTCTGGGTTTCTTACAGGTTCTGCAAAGGACCTTCCTGGGTGGGTGGCTCTGGCAGATGGTCTGCGCTCTAGTTCAGAACGCTAAAGAACACAGTCCCTCTGCTCTCCCTTACCACCAACTGAACTAAGGCCAACTAGTTCGGTTCCGGGTCCCAGTGGCCTCTTAGGCAGCCCTGACCCACTTTCTGTCCTGTCCAGAACCTCTCCTGGTTCGGATGGAGAGTGACGTCGAGATAATTGAGGACTAAAACCGTCAGTGGTTTGAGAGTGGGGCTGGGGAGCTGAACGCTGAGCGGGGAGTCGCTGGACGGTGGGGGTGGGGATGGGGGGCAGAGGCCGAGCTAGGGGTCGGAGCAGCACCTGGAGACCGAGTCTGGGCAAAGCCCCCGCGCCTGCCCAGCCAGTGGCTAAATTTACCCAGGCTGACTCAGCCTTTGCCAGGAATGGGGGGTGGGGGGAAGTGCGCCAGGGCAGCGAGAGAAACCGGCGAAGGTGGGGGAGCAAAGAAGAGTCAGAGCTAGGGGAGACAGGGGCGGGCCTGGAGTTTCCATCAAAGAAAGGAGTCCACCTCCCCACGGAGAGGAGCGGGGAAGGAGCCCGGAGCACAGAGGGTGGAGCATTTGGGGAAAGGGTCGGGGAAAGAGGAAGGCACCAAGTCTGGAGCAAAAGGGAAGCTTAGATTTATTGAGCGCCTACTGTGTGCCAGGCACTGTGCTAGGCGCTTTTTACATACATTATCTCATCAAATCCTCACAACAACCCTGCGAGGTAGGTGCTTATAAACCCTCATTTGACATATGAGGAAACTGAGGCTCAAGGAGGTGAAGTGATTTAGCCATTGTCACATGGCTACTAAATGGCAAAGACAGGTGTGTCCAGGATGGAAGAGAAAAGGTATTTCAGTGTCTGGGTCTTCAGTCGGTCGGCTTGGATGAAAACAGAGAGGGGCGGGGCGCGCTTCCTAACGGGCGCTCCCGGCAGCGCACGGCTGGGCGCACGACTGGCGCGCAGAGACTAGGAATCGCCGATTAATTGTAGGGGGTGAGGGACTCGAAACTAGCAACCGGGGAAATCCGCGACCTGCGCGCGCCCCACAGTGGCTACAGTGAGTATCACACCCCACACCTCAAAGCTTGGGACCAGCCTCTCCTTCCCTGCCTCGCTGATTAAGAAGCAGAAACGAGCGACTTTCTCAGAGTTCTTTCAGGTGGACGATGCCACCTGGCAAATCGTGGTAACGTTCCGGAGCAACGTTAAGAAACACTGGGGAAGAGGAAAAAGAGAAGGCTTTGCGAGGTCCCAGGATTCCATCCAGCCCTGCCCTGGGAACCCTCAAAACCGAGACTGGCGTCCTTTGCGTGCCTCCTCAGCTCTGAACAAACACAGACCTGAAGGTCTTAACTGAAGGTGACTACAGGTGATACGGAGTTTCCCCAGGGTCCATCAGGCTCTGTTCTCAACTCTTTTCCTTGGGCTGTAGAAGGAAGGCCTTCTAAAAGAGTTCAAAATATCAGAGATAAAAAGATAGGCCTTGGAACGCCTTTGTTTTACACACTAGGAAACCTAGACGTCTGGGAAGGGGCAGTAACTGGCCTAAAGTCACGGAGCAAGTCAGTGGCAGAAGTGAGATAGAAACCAGTTACATGTGACAGAGTGAACCCTCTTTCTGTTTTGTTTTGTTGTTTTTTTGTTTTTGTTTTTGTTTTGTTTTGTTGGGGTTTTTTTTCTCTTTCTGGAGCCTTCAGGACCCTTTGCACTTCCACCCAAAGCCTCTCTGTCACCAGTCCGTCCAGTTCTCCACGGCTTGTCTTCAGCCTCTCCAGCACTTTCTCCCTTCTACCTAGAAGCTCTGCCCTGGGTGTCTGCCATCCCTACTCTCATAAGGAATCGAGGCCTGTTTGCTCAGCTCCACAGCTACTACTGAATACCATGACCTCCTCAGTCATGTACCCGGGATGTGGAGGGCTTTAAAGTCTACTTGCTTCATCTTCACCTCTGCTGAAAAAGGAACAGTAAATAAATAAACGGGCAAATGGCCCCTGTTCTCTCATTTGGGCAAATTCTACTCCAGGTTCAGGAAAGGGAGGGGCAATGGTGCAGGGACAAGAGAAGCGGAAGGAGAGATAGTGGGAAAGAAGAGAATGGGTGGGACCCAGGATGGATTGAGGAGCATAACTCCGACAAGAGATCTCTCACTGGTCCTCCGCATCTCCTTGTGGGGTCCTTTTAGTGTCCCCCACACGGAAGGCTTCCTCGGTTCGGCTGATGACACCCAGAATCTCCCGAATACTGTCACTAAGCTCCGCTCTCTTCCTCCCCTCCCGGGGCCCCATGGAGCCCCCATCCCTGGCGGTCGTCTGCTCACTCCGCCAGGAGGTGCCAGAAGTTTCCGTGTCACTTCCATCAGAGGAGCCGCTGTGGACGCTGAGTTCGGCAGCTTCATCAGAGTCCGAGTCTGGGGCAGTGTGGCGGCGGATGCGGGACACAGCTTCCCGCAGAGCGCCAGCATAGGGCCCTGGGGTCCTCGCCCAACTGCGACCCACAAGTCGCGGGACCGCTGACGCTTCCTTCAAGCCCTCGGTGGTGGTGCCCACAACTTCCAAAGCCGCTGCCCCTAAGGCTGGGTGCTCTGGACTACCTGGCTGTGTGTGGGTGTCCCTCAGGTTCAGCTCCACGACGGGGAGCCCCAAGATGCTGGAGGCGCGCTCCTGTAGAGCCGAGTCCCCTGGCTCCCCGCCCTCAGCTTCGCTCCCGCGCCCCGCAACGGTCTGGTGCGAGGGGCTGCTGCGCTGGAGCAGCTTCTGGCAAGGAGAAGGCAAGGCCGCGCGCGCCTCTCCTTCCTCCTTGCCGCACATCGGTGGACTTGGGGCATCCCCCCCAACGTGTGGCACCCTGGCGGGCAAAAGCTGTACGTGCTGGGTTCGAAGAGGAGTCGGAACATACTGGGACCGGATCACCACGCACGTGGCGTCAATGACAAAAATGCCTTCTCCCCGAGTGGGGCGGCGGGAACTGCGAGGCAAGGTGTGGGCGCGGCGGGTCACCTTCCATCCCTCTAAGGCCCCGGCTTCGGCCCCCTCCCTGTGGCCCAGGGACTCTTTCCATCCGGTACCTCCTGGAGCCCAGGGTCTGGGGAGGGTCTGGCTATGGCTGGGCAATTGCTTTTTAGGGGAAGGGATCCAGCGTTTGGGAAGCCAACTCCGCTCCACATTTTCTTTCCCTTTGCGGGCGCCCTTTTGATGAGGCCTGGACCTGGGGGCGGGGCGCGGGGGACTAGGGGTGGTTGGGGCCTGCCCTGCGGGAGCGGCCTCTGTGCCCCCAGGCTCCGGAGGGCTGGCTGGGCCGTGGCTGTCGCTGCTTAGGCCAGCAGCAGGGAACTCCAGGCCTTTCTCCGCTGCCCCCTTTCTGAACTCTGGCCTAGCCCTAGCCACTCCGTAGCTTGAGGAGCCTCCCAGGAGACCTCGCCCCTGTCGGAGACCCCAAGCCCCAAGGACGTCTTGGTAGATGCGAGGATCCAGCCTCTTCTTTGAGCGCCCTGTCTCAGTCCTAGCCAGGGTCGGAGCCGCGGTTGGGGAGGTAAAGGTGGGCGCCCGGGAGACCTCCGGACCTCGCTTAGTCCCCAGGGTCCTGTGGGGGCCATCGTAAGAAGGTGGAGCCACATAGGGTGGCGGCCGGTCCCAGCGACGTCGCTGGGACGATCCGGCAGCGCCTCTCAGCAGCAGATGAGCTTCGTAGCTGGGGGGGCCCGGCCGCCGACCTCCCCAGGGCCCTGCCCATGCGACCCCTGGTATGCTCTGAGGCTGCGCACATGGACGGGGCGCCCGCCCCAGCAGCCCAACGCGCTCCGGCCTTGTGGAAGCGCAGAGCCCTGCAGCCTGTGCCACCCGAGGGGCGTTCCGGGGCTCTGGCCGGGCCCAACCTGGCGGGCTCCTTCGGGCCCCACCAGCTTTGCGCCTCTTTCGCTCTGTCTCCTTGGCCTCCCGCTCCTGCGACGCCGCTTTCCTTTTCTCTTGCTCCCGGGCTCGGGCCTCCGTCGGGGGCCCTGCCCGCCAGTTGGTCGCCTCCTGCAGCACCCTGGAGGCCCAGGGTCGGCGGGGCGGCTCAGGGGATCCTGGGCGCGGCCCACACCTGGGACAATGAGCAGGAACCCAGGTGAGCAATTTGTAAGGGAAGGGAGCCGAGGTCCGGGGAGCTGGGAGTACTGGAGACCACTTGGGATCACTGTGTGGAGGGGCGTGTGTGAATGTGTGCGCGTGTGCACGTGCGTATATGGCGGGGCTGAAGTCGAAGCGGGACTCCTCACCGTGTCTCCATGCACACTTTCCCAGCGTCTGCCCCATCTCACCTCCTGCCCCTTCTCATGCCCACTCCTGTCCCCCCAAGACAACACGGAACGAGTCAGATCCTAGCCCTCGGGATGGGATGGGGGAGGAGGCGTCGGGAAGACAAGGGGAGCCCCCGCAGCTCGCTGAAGCCTGTCTGCGTGAGTGCGTGCGGAGAGGTCTGGACCCCACTTCTCCCCCACACTCCACTCTCTTTCCCAGGTCCCTCTTTCACTCACGTGCGACTCTGGGTCCAGCGGGCCCAGTGACTGGTCTGGGAATCCATAGGTTGTTGAGAAGGGGCGCGGCGACTATAATGACAGGAAATAGTCTTCACTTCGATCACCAACAGCTTGGACTTCTGCACCCAGAGGCAGCTGCTAGACTCCTTCTCATGGGGCTCCCGGGGGCTATCGGGCCCCTCGGAGAAAAGCGGGCCATCCAACATCCTGCCCCACCCTACCCCGGCCCCCCCCCCTCCCTCCCGCCCCTGAAGCCCCCTCCCAGCCCGGGAGCGGGCGCCCACTGCAGAGCGGCGGGCCTAGAGCCTAGGGACTATATATACCCGGGCACACGTGTGTGCCTGTCTGTGTGTGCGCGCGCCCATGTGACACAGCGCGGACGGCTCCGCGCTGCTACCTCCCCCACGTGCACGGCCGCCCCCTGGGGCCCGCGATTGGACGCCCCTTCCCACTGCTCTTGTCCCCCAAGCCTGAAGGGACCTACACGAGTGGGCGGGGGACTTGTGACTCTTGCCAAAGTGACCGAGGACAGTGTCCCTCGCCCCACCTCGTTCCTCCAGTCTTCTCGCCGTTTTAACCCTTCATCTTCCTCTTCTCAGGTTGCCATCAGGGTTCGGCCCTTACTTCTCGACTGGACTTCAGTTTCCCCAACAGAGAGGGACACTGGGAACAGAATTTAAGGTCTCTGCCTGCCACTCTGCTGGTTTCCATGGGGTTGGGGTGCAGGAGGGGCTGGGCCATGGCTGGGGGGGGCTATTTTTAGCGGCAGTGGCTGTTCGGGTGCAGAGATGAGATAAGTAACCAGCTTCCAGGCTGGAGGGAGGAGGCGGTGGCTTTTATGCAGCTTTTGTGTGACTCTAGGGGGTGGGGGAGCTGCCTTCCTCAAGCTCAGAGGGGGCGACGACCCCCACACCTTTAACACTGCACTTCAGTGCTGAAGCATACAGCTTCTGGGACAACAGCCTGGTCACCCAAACTGCCCCACTGCTCCTATTCTAGATGTTTGTCCTTGGGCACCCATGGAAACCTACCCCGCCTCCCCCTCGCAGTAGGCTATTTTCCCCCAGTCCAGAAGCCAGGATGCTGGGGTCACATTGTTCTGTGCCCATACATCTCTGCCCTGCCTTGTGGAGGACAGACTAGAGTGCTCTGTACTTGCACCCTTTCAAGAAGGGCTAGAGGACTGATGCTCCCTTGGCACACTAATCTCTTAGCAACTGAAATGATAAAAGCGACCTCTATTTCTCAGCATAGAGCTCCCTCCTCTCCCCATGACAAAAGCTGGTTTACTCAGCCCCCACCAGAAGTGATGCTCACCTTTTAGGTTCATCCTGCCCTGGGGGGGTTGTTGCTTGCATCTATCCACATGAGCCCTTCCCCCAATCCTATACCAGGTGTCCCCTGATTCACCATGGTAATGTTAGTGGCAGCACAGCCCACGCCAACCCTTACATGCAGAGACTTAGCAACCATGCCTGGCAACCATGGCAGCAGCTCCAGTGGAGGGGAAGAAGGAGGGTGGGGGAGGAAGAATGTGTATGGCAATGGTTCCTGAGAAAGAGCTCAATTGCTTCTCCTGAGAGGAACACTACAAGGCTCCCAAATATCATCCCTTTTCTTTCCCTCTGCCCCATCCTCAGACTCTTCAACCAACTGGTTGAATTTATTGCGAAGTGGGAGGAGTGAGAGATCCCAATGTATCTTTCATTAAATAATCTGTAGTCCTTTGGATACAGACCATCCTTTTAAGGGATGGGACTAGAGGGTTGTTGTGGAGCAGAACCTGACTGAATGGGAACCTAGGCCTCTTGCTTTTGTCCCATCCACTTTATCCCCTTAACCCATGTACCTACCAGCTGGAATGATGACTCTGAGGGTTCTTCCTTCCACTGAAGACCCCACCAGAGTCCTACCGCTTTTTAAAGCCCTTGCCTGCCCCCTAAACAAACTCTCACTCATGATGGAATGTGACACAGAGACATCTGTCCTTTCTACCATGCACCCACTCCCACACACATAATTACTTGGAAGCCTCCCTCCCCCAAGTTTGGGAATGTGCTGTGAGGCCTGTGGAGAGAAATGCAACAGCAGAGGACTTTTCCATTGACATGATGCAGCAGCAAAAGCTGAGCTCTAATAAGTACCTTGATGCTTTCCCCTGTGATCTACCCATTTAAGAAGGCTGATTTGGAGATACCTGCATGGTAGGGCTTGGGGGGTTTATCAGAGGGCTTAGTTAGGCACAGTGACTAAGGGCAAGGAGTAACTCTGAAACTACTTCCAGTCCTGGATCAAGGCAAAGTTAGATGATAGCTAGCCTTTAACTCAAACCCAATTAGCATGCCTTTTGATTCTTACTGCTGTGTTGGTCCACAGTTTCAGTACAGGGAAGGGTGTTATGGTAGACCATAGTCCTGTTTTTCCGTTCCCTCCATTCTTTGAAAGAAAAGCAAAGATATCAACCACTCAGCAGAATTCATGTATAGCCCTGCTATCTAGGCCTGAAGGAAACCTTCAGTCTCACTACTCTATGATGATCTAACATTGTCATGGACTTTTCCTTGGGCCCAGTTATGGCCCATGAAAAACGAAAAGGGAGATAAAAAGGGGGTGGAGCAACTGCTCCTTAAGTACTGTCAATTCTGACTCACAGAGTAACAGATGACCGTTATCTGAATTTTGCCCTATCCTATACCATTCTTGTGATCTCTTTGGTGCTCAAGCCCATTTTAGAGTCGCAGTGTCAATTCACAGATCTTCCTCATTTTCCTTACACATTTCCCAGCATGATTTCTTATTCCAAGGACTAGCCCTCTTCTGCCAACATGTCAAAGCATGTAAAATGAATTTCACTATCTTTGCCTCTAAGGAACACTCTGGTTGTACTTCCTCCCAGACAGATTTGTTTCAATACTCTTCTCTTACACTAGTATTCAAAGCATTGATTCTTTGGCCTTATTCATTCTGCAATTTTCACATGCACATGAAGCAACTGAAAATACCATGACTTAAGTCAGGCATATCTTAGTCTTTAAAGTGACATCTTTGTACTTTAAAGGTGTCCGTAACAGCAGATTTCCCCATACATCTGATTTGCTGCTACCATGACTGTTGATTGTGGATCTAAGTAAAAAGAAAAAAATGATAACTTTAATCTGTTATCTTTCATCTCTTGGTCCAATGGTCAGGATTTCTGTTTTCTTTATACTGAGATGGATCCCATACTGAAGCCTGTAGTCTTTTATCTTCTTTAGTCAGTGCATCAAGTCTTCTTCACTTTCTGTAAGGCTTTGCTATCTGTATAACACAGGTTGTTGAATCTTCCTCTAATCCTGATGCCACCTTCTCTAATGATTTACTCAACATATAGATTGAATAAGTATGAAGAAAAAAATACAACCTTTACATACACCTTTCCTGATTTTAAACCATGCAATGTTCTCGTTTGGACTACTGCCTCTAGGTCTACATACATGTTTCGCATGAGCAAAATTAACGGTTTTGGGATTCTCATTTTTCCAAATACTAGTAATTATTTGTTATGATCCACAAATGCCTTTGTGTAGTTAGTAAAACACAAGTATAAACACCTTTCTGATATTCTCTGCTTTCAGCCAAGATCCATCTGATATTAGCAATAATCCTCATTTCACAATTTCTTTTAAATCCAGCTTGAATTTCTAGAGGTCCCTTATCATTGTATTGTTTCATTTTTTTCTGAATAATCTTCTGCAAGATTTCACTTGCATGTGATATTAATATTGCTTGGTAATTTCCACACTCTGAACATCTTTTTTTGTAATGCAAACAAATGCGGATCTCTTCTAGTCAGTTGAATTAGAAAGGCAGAAGTCTGGAGTACTGGTAAAGTGCATGAAATATTCAGGAGTTAGAATGTGTGAAATCAAATCTTAGCTCTACTTTTTACTAGCTGTGTGATTTTGCGCAAGTTATTTAACCTTTCTGTGTTTGTTTTTAAAAGTCTGTAAAAGTAGAAGAGCAATAATACCAAATAGTGTTCTGAGAATTAAATAAAGTTAAAAACAAAACCAAACTCCAACTCACTGCTGTTAAATTAGAACTGACTCATAGTTGACCCTCCAGGTTTCCAAGCCTGCAAATTGCACAGCAGATGATTGCCCATCTCTTTCTGGGTAAGCAGCACAGTTCCCGATGGACTGCACCAGGATTAAATATGTTCACAGCAAAGTACTAAAAACGGTACCTGACATATAGTAAGTTTTATATACACACACACACACTTTTTTTTCATGTTGTTGCACAAATCAAGTCAGAACCAACTCAAATTACTCTGTAATGGGTTTCAGAGGCTTTAAATCACATAGGAGAAGATTGCCCATCTTTCTCCTGTGGAGTTACTGATGGATTAAAACTGCATGCCTTAGGGCTGACAATACTACTTCTTACTCTGTACGTGTGCACATGTGTATTGCTGCTGCTGTTGTTATTAATTCTGAGTTGAAGAAATCTTATAAAAGAGCAAGGCTGGATCACTAGTGTCAACTGACTACAAAAACCAAACACTGCAATACCATGAAGAAGTTCCTGTCATTTTAATTAGGTTTGCCATGAAAAACCGTAATATCAGCTAACCACTTCACCCTCTATCAGCTTTCATACAAAAACAGTACAGGAACCCAAAGGCCTCCATGCCATGATCATCTTCACTCCCATTATGGGAAAAAAAAATGTCACTAACTGGACTCAGCCTCCCACACACAGCATGAAACAAGACTAATAAAAATAAAGACTTCTGCTGTGCTATTATCTTAAGATGAAGTAAGGGGTAGGGATAGAAATAAAGGCAGTATGAGGTCTAGGGATCTCTTAGAGATCAGAATCTGAGGAAAGGCAGAGAGCCCACAATTGACCCAGAAAGGGGGCGATGTCTAAGAGGATGGTGACTGAGATGGGCTGGACTAAACTTTTCTCAAGCATACATGTGAGGGCAAAGGCAGCTAACAATCTATCTTCCTTTCTTCTCCAATGCCCCTAGCCCCCAGGTAGAAGGGCGGGGTGGGGGTGGGCATTTGTTCCTGAGCTGAGCACAAAATCACAATTCTCCCACAGTGTCATGTCTGATTCCCAGAGCTGTTGGCAGACAGCAAGTAGAAAAGACTTCCCAGTGCTGTCTGAGTTCTTTGTCCTTTCCTCAGCTCAGGGATTCTTCTCTCCACCTGTAAGCACCAGGGCCTGAAGGATGTCAGAGAGAGATACAATTCCCTTGACCACATCATTCTCATCCACCACCACAAGTCGATGAACCTGGCAGAAAACAAGGAAGAAAGGCAGTGTTTAGTGCCAGCCTCAGGGTGGGTCAATCTACTCCCGTCCAGTTTTCCAAAGTCCACTCTCAAGGCTTAGTTCTCTTACCACCTGCTCCCCCCACCCAATTCTGCTCTATTAAGGGTCTTTAGTTCTCCTACCTCTGCTTCTACAAGTCTATTGATGATAGTCTCGAGAGTCTCATGTAGATAGCACTTCAGGACACCCTCAAAATAGTGTGATTGGTGTTGCAGGGCTTTGGTCACAGACACATCAAGGTTATTGTAGGTCTTTTCTGCTGCCAGATTCTGAGGAGAAAGAGGAAGGAGCTTCCAGAGAAGGGAATCAATCCCCAAGCCTTAATTAGGACAGACTAAGAGGGACTCAGGACAGTTAACCATGCCACACTCAATTCATCAATTCTTTTACAACAGGATTTGTAAACTTAGAAACTTGCAAGACCCTTAGGTACCAGTAGACACTCTCCCGTCTCCCTCTTCACATGCAGTATCGTAGCTCCTCTGTTCACTCCCTTGTTTCCCTGCCTCCCAACCCCTCCAAAATCACTCACAATAACATCAAACTTGGAGTAGATGTCCACCACACGCCCTAGGGGGAAAGAGGCAGCTCAGTAAGGAGAACCTAGCATTCAAGGCTCACCCTGTTCATAGAATTACTCTCCTGGCTAAGATGAGTTAAGAGGCACGTTATCTTGAGTCCCCTAACTTTTGGAAGCCCTCCCTCCTCCTGGGCAATCTCTCACCTTTCTCGTCCACCACTGGCAGGGCAGAAACTCGGTGCTGTACAAAGATGCCCAGAGCCACATAGACAGGGGTGGTAGTACGGACCATAGCAATGTTGGCATAGGTGCCAATCTGAAGCTCCTCCAGAGATTTAGACATGAACTCTGGCTTGGGGAACTCGGCAATCTGAGGAAAGAGTTATCAGGCTTGATTTTCAAGGTCCCAAACCACCCTGAGATACCACCATAATTAAATATATAAAAAGTAAGAACTTTATTGAGAGCACTTACAAATAATTTTAGGAACTTGAGGATACGCTTGTGGGTGAGGATATACAATGTGTTGCCTGATTCTGGATCAATAACTGGCAGCCTGTGGATCTTGTTTCGAATTAATGATGAGACAGCATCAAACAAGCTGTAGGAAAGTGGAAAAAATGAATACTGACCAGTTACATAGTGATGGGGCTGAAGGTGGGTTACTATCTCTTTAAGAGATTTACAAATAGGGAAAACTGGTGTTGGTGGGGAGGTGGCAGTGTTCAGACCAGACTTAAAGAGTGTTGAGAATGTATGTGGTTGGGAGGAGTGTTTGTTCTCTTTAGCTCTTTTCTCTAGAGTTGTGTGCGTCTCAATATAATCAATATATAATATTGATTATAATAAAATTATAATATAAATATAAGAGCAACAGTCAAAAAAATCAAAAGATGGGAAAATCTGCTGTCAAGGGTCTCTTCAAAGTGCTAAACACCAACAATGTAAGTTTAAAGACTAAGATGCACCTGATCCAAGCCTTGATATTTTCAATTACTTCCTGTGCATCTGAAAGTTGCAAAATGAGTAAGAAGAAAAAAGAATCAATGCCTCTGAACTGTGGTGCTGGAGAAGAAAAGTGAATATCCCATGGACTACCAAAAGAATAGACGAATCCATCTTAGAGGAAGTGCAACCAGGGTGCTCCTTAAAGGCAAAGATGGTGAAACTTGGTTTCATACATTCTGGGCATGTTATCAGGAGGGGCCAAGCCCCTGGGAAAAGTTGTTAAGCTGAAAAGGGCGAGGCTCAGCAAGAGGGGAAAATCCTCCACAAAATTAAATGACACATGACTATTAGAAATCATAAGGATGGCATAGGGTAGGGCAAGGTTCAGATCTATTTTTCATAGGGTTGCTGTAAGTCACAAGTCAATGGCACCAAATAACAAACAACAGGACTTTAACTACACAGATGGCTTGGATCTTAACTTTCTGGACAAATGAGTAGTTGGAACTCACCTGGCATTGGGAGAAATGCAGACAAGTGGTTTAAAGGAGTCCTGTAGGTACACCTCTGAAGGGAAAAGCAATGATTTTCACAAGTAAAAACTATTTCTCAGGAACCTTCCACCTTTTCATCCTTTTACAGCCCCCCATATTCAACATACCTCTCCAAGTTTCTATCTTATGTTCTTCAAGTTCATAGATCTGTACCTAGAAGCAAAAGCAACAGTACTTGAGGTCTAATCTCCCTGCTTCATTAATTTCTTGTGGCTTGCTTGGATGAAGGAAGTGAGTACAAGGGACTTAGGGCAGGGAATGTTCTGTGGGCTATGGTTCCTTACCAAGGCTGATTTATAGTAGCGATGCAGGATATTGATGAAGTCCGTGATGGTAAGCATACCTAAAGGCCAAAACAAGAGTCTTCAGCACTGCCCAAGCACTGTTCAGCAAATGATACCAAAAATATTGTATTCCAAAAATTTTTGCTTACCCACAAAACTTTGCTTATTACTGTCCCACAAAGGGGCAGCTCGTACACCATTAGTCACCAAGGCAAAGAAAGCTTTCTTCACCTGTAACCAAGAGTATAGTCACAAAGCGAAATTCACAAGGGGCAGAACTCTGACAGAACAGGGCATGTTGGGGGAAAACATGAGACTAACTCCAAAGGACAAGAATAGTACCCTTGGGAAGAGAAAGGACTTGAGATATTGAACTAGAGGCTCCAAAGATGGAGAAAGGGAAAAGAGGAGTTCACCTACCTGCAGGGAAGTATCAAATACAACTAATTTGGAACTTGTGGGAATCAGGTCATAGCAGCGATGAGACTTCATGAAGGAAGTATACACGCCGTTGTTGGATTCTGGGGTCTCTGCATAGGGTGGGAAAGTTAGTAGCTTCCTTCTATGCAACATCTCTCAATAAAAGGAGGCAGAAAACAAAACCGTGCTGTAGTGTCTAAAATACTTAGAGCATAAAATTTTTTTTAAATGTGGTCTCCTGTTCTGTTCTTAATGTTCCCACGAAATCAAGATAAATTACAAAATCAACATAAATCTCCTAGAAACCATTTAATCCAACTTCTGTTTCCATAGCTAACTAGAACAGAAGATAGCCAACTAAAACAGAAAGCTCTGATATTTCTTAGGCGTCTGCCCTAGTCTAGAAGCGTTTAGTCATTTTAAACCAGTTTCTTCTTCCATATATTTCATACATTCTCCACTTAAACTTATCAATAAAGCTGAAAGACTAAGTTTCTTGAAATTCTCCCAAGATCTGCATATATTAATAAAGCCATGGTCTAAGCTGGGCCATTGCTGACCACCACTAACCTGATACCTAATGCTTGATTAACCTGGTTTCTCAAATCCTTTACAGGGCCAATCTGTGAGTCAGAATTCATTTTACTCTAGACAAATGGGTGATCCTGACTTATGTTTATTTTTATATTCCTCAGATTTTAACTGTTCTAAGAGAAACAGCCTCCCCTCATTGCTTTCTAAATAGTGGCCCAGATGTGCTATGTGGGTATGTATACTTTAAAATATTAAATAATTTCATCCTTGGAACAAATATATAAAGCAGATATTGTCTCTGTTTTCCAGATGAGAAAAGAGGTTTAGAAGAGTAATATTAATCAAGATCTAAATAAATGGAACTAAGACTCAAACCCAGAGCTTATGATCTTAAACCATATACCAGCTATTATAATTCATTTTATCAAAGTTAAGCAAAGTCTATGTAAATTTTCATTGAAATTAATAATAAATAAGGATATAATTTTTACTTCTTTCTCCTACAAGGACCCCTCAAAAAACAGGCACCTCCCACCTCTTATTCTTCTAAGAGTTTGTTATTGTTATGTGCCATCGAGTCACTTGCGACTCATAGCGACCCTATGTACAATAGCCCTAAACCCTGCTCTATCCTGTGCCAATCGCACTGCCTCTTGACACACCCATCCCAATTACCAAGTCACTGAGTCAATCCACCTCATAGGGGGTCTTCCCCTCTTGTGCCATCCCTTCACCCTCCCAAGTATGATGTCCCTCTCCAAGGACCTGTCCCTCCTTACAACATGTCCAAAATATGTCAGACAAAGCTCCAGAATTCTTGCCTCCAAGAAGCAGCCTGGTTTAACCCTCTCCAGGTTAAATGTTTGTTTTCTCAGCAGTTCATGATACACTCAATACTCTTCTCCAGCACCACAGCTCAAAGGCATCAATTCTCTTTCTATCTTTCCTAGTCATTGTCCAACTCTCTGATGTATAACAAGTGGTTGTAAAGACCATGGCCTGTATCAGACGTACCTTAGTCTCCAGAGAGACACCGTTGCTCTTCAGTGCCCTGGAGAGGTCCCTAACAGCAGACTTTCCCATCGCAATACGTCTTTTGATTTCCTGGCTACTGGTGCCAAGAGTGTTGACTGTGGAGCCAAGCTGACTAAAGTTGTTAACAATCTCAATCTCTTCACCATCCATCCTGATGCTGCCAATTGATCCAGTGGTGAGAATCTTTGTCTTCTTGACATTGAGCTTCAATCCATACTGAAGGCTGCAGTTCTTGACCCTCTGCAGCAAGTGTTTCAGGTCCTCTTCACTTTCAGCAAGCTGGGCTGTGTCATCTGCATAACGCAGATTGTCAGCAGATCTTCCACCAATCCTGACGCCAACTTCTCCCCACAGAGCTCAGCCTCTCGGATGATCTGTTCTGCATACAGGTTGAAAAGGTATGGAGACAGGACACATCCCTGGCGTATGCCCTTCACAATTTTGAACCATGCAGTGTTGCCCTGCTCTGTTGGGACGCCTGTCTCTTGGTGCAAGTATAGGTTTTGCATTAGCACGATCAAGTGTTCTGGGATTCATTCTCATTCTTCTCAGAGTCAGCCACAGTTTGTTATGATCCACATAGTCAAACACCTTTGCATAATCAATGAAACACAGATAGACATTCTTCTGGTATTCCCTGCTTTCAGCTAAGATCCATCTAACATCAGCTACAATATCCCTA